CCCCCCCCCCCCCCCCAAAGCTCAAAAATTTTGCGGGGCGTGACAAGGAATTACTACTTCTTGCGCGAGTAGACCACACCAGCAGCTACAATGGAGATACCAGCAACGGCAGCAGGAACAGCCCAGTAGTGCTTCGCCATGTCCATAAGCTTCTCACCGAAATCTTTCGGCTGCTCTTTCTTGTAGATTTTAAGCTCGGGGATCTTCGGGGCAGTAGAAGGGTCGAGCTCTCCAATGCAGTACTGCTCCATGAGTTCCCTTGCGCTCTGGCTATGACCCGCATCTTCGAAATCATCCGTTGCATCCTTGCCTTTGAGAAGGAATGCATATTTCAGATCAGATGCAAACATTTCAACACTTGAAACTTCAAACCCAGAAGAAGATGATGATAACGGGAATAGTAATGGGAAAAGAATGAGATCAGATTACCAGTTGCAGCGACAAGCACATCATCTCCTCCAGGGTGCTCTTCCATATACGAAGTTACATCGTATACCTGACAGAAATTGTCAAAGGAAACATCCTTTTTCTCAACATCAGAGGCTTAAGTGGAAACCCATCAATCAAAGAATGAAAAGTTCAGAACTTTTCGCCTTGGAAACAATGAAAAGATTGCGAAAACTAACCATGGAAGAAGCAGCGGTGAATTCGAACAGGTATACCACTCCTCATGGTAACACACATCAATGGAAAAACAATAATATTTTTCTTGAATGCACTAACAACTCGAGAATTTCTTCATGGTAACACACATAAACGGAAATGACAACAAAACCCAGAGTTCTTCAAAGCCTCCATGGTCAACGAGAAATGAATGGATTTTAAACTCAAGTCAAATGGTGCTATCATCGTCTACAACCAAGGGGGAAATAGCGGATCTTGATGGTAGAAGCAAAAAACCCAGAAAAAAAATTTTAAAAAAGAAACGAACTTGGAGAGAGAGAGAGAGAGAGATGGAGGACCTTGCCATCGATGACGAGCCAGCAGTCGTCTTGCTTGTTGTGTTTCGCAGCTTCATCCATGGAGTATAGCTTCGTGAGGGTCGGCATTTTCTTTTTTAATTTTCTTTTTTCTCTTTAGGGCTTAGGGTATTGGACGAGACGATATCGCGCAGAGAGTGATTCGGTGTCTCTGAATGATTGAAGGAAGCAACAATGGCGCAGATGGAGAAGAACCCTACCCCATACGTCGTCGTCTTGGTGCCACAGTACGTTGATAGACTTCTGGGCTCCTTGATTGGTCCTGGGCTCATCCAAACTTGGCCCACGACCTTTTTTTTTTCTTTTACCTTTTTCCACGTTTTTTTAATTTAAATTAATAAATTCTATTTTATTTTCAATGTATTCGAAGATAAAATTAGCAGATTTATTATGGTTTTTCAGATTTTAGAGTTCGACCGATTTGGTCTATAAGAATAAGAATATGGGAATTTATTTGATTTGGTTTGGCTTGATGCAGTGATGACTATTTTTTGTATTTTTTTTAATTGAAAAAATACATTAAAGAGAAATGTATAGTTAATTGTTTCTAAACCAACAATAAATAAATAAAAAATCAATAATGGCAAAAATAGACCAGTAGTTAGTTAATTTGACTTTTCAGGATTAGAGTTAAAATAGTAAAACAAATATTTGTAGTAAAAAGAATAATATGATTACTATCACCACCCCATGCATGATTAGTTTTTTGTTGTCATTTTTATTCACTTCAAATTCGACAAACTATATAGAATTTGAGTAAAATTTCAAATGGATTGAAAAATTATATGAAAAAAAATCAAATATTATATATAATTTTTCAAAATCTAAAACATCTAATAAAAAATAAAAACATATCCGATGAAATCTAATAAAAATATTAATATGCAATGCGCTATTCTTTACGTTATTAGAATTTAGAAACACACCTTTTTTTCATTTTTAAGTTTTTTTTTATTTGTTAAACCATTTTTAAGTTTTTACTTTAGTTTTTGTTATATTTTATATTATAGTTTATTTTTTTTCTCGTTTCTAGAGATGGGACAAGACCACACCATCATAAAACATGGGTCCGGTCCAATGCCCTCACATTTTCCACGGCAAAGTTAAATTGTTGTCAACATTTATAATATATAATTATGTGTCCCGACGACCCAATACACACACACACACATATATATGTGTGTGTGTGAGTGAGAGAGAGAGTGAATATAAATAGTTAATTATGCTATTATTGGTAGCGTGCCGCTAATCAGAGATTATTATTATATGGTGGTAGATTTAATTAATATATAGTCACATCCGTTTTTTGTTTAAAGTTTATTTTATATACTCTTTTCGAGAAAATTCAATATCTTGTTGGTGAACTCTACGAAAATATGTAGCATGATTCATCGTACGTGATTGAATATTCAAATATGGTTAACAGCCAAAACATGTTATTACTATATGAGTTTACACCTTGTAATATATGCCGATATTAGAAAAGAAAAATCCACATCCGAATCATTATTAGGGTATTTCTTTTTCTTTATTAATCCCATTATTTATTATTATATTCCAAAAACCAAATTTTATTAGTTCACAATCAATAAAGTTTTCTTCTTTTATATTGGGTCCTACGGTTTTGATGATAACCACGTTCAAGTTCGAGAAGATGGACCACCCGATGTCATTACAATAACACCAAAATAGTTCGGACATCATTTATTTAAATCACAAAAAAAAGGCAATCAATAAGAGATTAAGTGACAAAGCAGAACTTTACATTGTTTCGGAAACCATCATATTTATTGTTATTACTTCAAAATTAATCAACTAAATCAAAATGCATTGGATAGTTTTTTGGTGTGTTAAGTTATCAATTGAATTTTTTGTATAATCCAAAAATTCACTAAAATTTTGGTCCAACTATATCTTATATAGCATCTAAAAAATCCGGATAAATAATCTTCTCCGCATTTTGATTTGAATCTGCGGTGAAAATATGTTTCATATGTTCTGTCACTCAAACTTGGGTCGATTAAATTTTGTATATAATAATAAATTGAACAATCGGAATTAAATCAAGCTAAACCCATCTCTAATACAAAAGTAACGTTATGGGAAAATAATTAATAAATACAAATTAATTAGTAAGGTAAAAAAGGATCTACCGAACTTGAGGATGGATCATCATTACCCATCATAACTCCTTTCATTTACTTTTCCACCTTCCTTCTTATATAATATTCCTCTCTCTCTCTCTCTTCTGTGGTTCGTAATCAGGAGAGAGAGAGAGAGAGGATGAACAAGACAGGAGGAGGGTTTTGTCTGAACAGGATAATAAGGGCTAACGTAAGAGTCCGATCGCCAACCATTCAAAGCGGCCATGAACCGAGCTCCACAGAAAACCATCAAAAACCCAAGATTCAAGACATGGGAGCAGGAGAGAAGGCGAGAAACACGGACGGTAATGACGGAAAATCAGGAGGAAGGAGAATAGCGGTGGTAGTGGATTCGAGTTCAGAAGCCAAGAACGCTTTGCTATGGACCCTCTCGCACTGTGTTCAAGAACACGACACAGTCGTTCTTCTCCATTTCCTAAAAGCAAAACCCTCTAAACCAGGTCAGCCAATTCTTCACACGTTTTGTAAATACCCTTCCACATATATATATATATATATATATATATATATTCAGGGTTATGTATATATATATATATGTACGGTCATGTAGTAACGGGAGAGACGTGTACGGACAAACGAAGAAGTTCAAGATCTCTTGAAAGGGTTTCAGCTCTAAAGAACATTTGTCTGCTCAAAAGACCTGAGGTTAGTCTCCTTCTATTTTCTATGAAAAAAATAAATAAAAATAAAAACAGAAACATGTGTTTGGATTTAAAATAATCGTACCTGTAAATTACAACAGAAATTTATTTGTAAAAAATATATATACTATATGGTCAATATATGTTAAAAAATGATAAATAGCGAAAATATTTTTTTTTAAAAATAATTTGCGAATCAGTTTCTACTCTTATATTTGTAGAAGATTTTTGCATACCAAGATTTAACAAAATATACCACCTAAAATCCCCCAAAAAATCTATTTAAAATTCGCATAAAATTCGATAGACAAGAGAAAATATACGTATACACGTATATATATTCTTCCATCTATATGTTAAAAATAATAAATATTATTTCGTAATTATCGGTAAATGGCGTTATTGGTATAGGTAAATACAGAGGGGGTGCTGGTGGAAGGTGAAGAGAAAGGGCCAAGCATAGTGGAAGAGGCGAGAGCACAAGGGGCGGGCTTACTGGTATTGGGCCAGAAGAAGAAGAAGAAGCGGCAGCAGTCGACCACGTGGCGGCTTCTGATGATTTGGGCCGGACAGGCCCGGCCCATTAACGGAAAGGGCTTCGTGGAGTACTGCATCAACCACTCTCACTGCATGGCCGTCGCCGTACGGAAGAAAAGCAAGACGCTCGGCGGCTACACCCTCACCACTAAACGCCACAAAGATTTCTGGCTTCTGGCCTAATTATTTATTCTTATTATTATTATTATTATTATTTAATCAGATGAAATTATTTCACCGTTTTTTATATGCCGTTTCCTTTATATTTTGTCATATGATTATGGGTGCATTGTTTCACTACTTGTGTTTTTTTTTCTTCTTTTTGCCTTGTGGTTGTCTGTATATATATAATTGACTTTTAATGTAATTAATTAAGGTGGTCTCTTCTGCTCTACTACATTTTGGAATTTCGTTATATTTAGTTCCAATTATTTTTAGATTAGTTTTTCCGTAAAAACTATATTTATTTAATTATACTTGTAATTTCATTATAAATAGATTAGTTTTCTTCATTTCGTAATTCCACTACAAAAATAAATTGGCTGTAACTTTCATTCCGTACCGTATGTATAACCTTTGACGATTATTGGAATAGTACACAAATCTAGATGGTGAAAGATCCAATGAAATTACATGCTTTCGTTTCAAAATATTTGTAGTTTTAGGTTGTTTTCAATGTTTCAAAATATTTGTCATTCTACATTTTCAAAATATTTTTTTACAATAGTTTTCAATTTTATCCCTATTAAATTTTAATAAATTATTAATGATAACTTTGTTTTTATTATTAAATGGGCGTATATACGACTTTTTTTTATCTTTTCTTAAAAAATGTAAAATAACCTAAAACAATAATTATTTTGAAACGGGGAGAGAGAGTATAAAAAAAAATCACCTAGAAGAATAAAAAACGTAAAAACAAACAAATCTCACGGAAATGTAGAATATAAGAATTGAAGAAAGTGAAAAAGCGTATCAGTGAGAGGTGGGATTAGGTTGAAGCATGGAAGGAAGAACCAGAGGAGACAACAGAGGAATCGGATCTTTGTTATTCTGATGACACGCCGAAACAAACGCCGCCGCCGCCGCCGGAGGAGGAACTCCGGCGAGCTCCGCCGTCGTCTCAGCCGACGAGCGTGAGGAAAGAGAATATGAAAACGACGACGTGTTGGTGGAAGGCTTGGGTGGTAGAAGAAGACGACAAGGTGCTTTTCTCTGAAGCCGACAACTCAGAGTCCGTTTGAAAATGCAGTAATCGTCTTTGTGAAAACTTGTCTTAAAGCCCGGAAAATGATCTCCTCCTCCACCTCCACGGCCCGATGACGAATCCTCCATTGATGCCGATCCTGTTCTTGTTTGTTTTTATTGGTTACAGAGCTCGTTGTCGCGTGCCCTTTTAGGGTTTTGCCTCAGAGAAGAAGAAGAAGAAAAAGGTGATGAAAGAATTGCATGAAATATTGTACGGATAACAAGCACAAAAAGGGAGAATACATATATATATATATATATATATATATATATATGTGTGTGTGTATGGAAGGTGGTGGTCAAAGGTGGACATATATACGGTTTGAGAATACCGTATCCGCGTATGATTTGTTACGGACAAGAATATATCGTTATAAGGAATGTCAGGTTACATCATTATTAGAAACACTGTTTTGTAACTCTTATCATAAACTGCGTCGTCATCTTTCCTCTTTTAGACTCTTAATCAGTTGACACATCGATTACCTAAAGAATGTCTCTCAGAATTTAAGGATGTCCAAACACAATGGAGGGATCGATATAAACATATATGGTTTATAATATGTCGAGACATTATACTTAAAAATTAAAATACGGATATGGCAAAATATAAAAAATACAATAGAACTACATGTTATGGTTTGATATTATTGTTATAAAGATATCTATAAGAATGTACTCACGTAAATGTGTATGTTATTTTCTAAATTTATCATGAATTTAACTTGGTAGTTTCTATTTCTAATGGGTACACTGTAAAGTATTTGTATTATATTATCATTATGTAAAGCATGTGTATCAAAATTCTTTGCTTAAAGCAAATTATGAAACTGAGAGCTACTAAAGTATAATTTGCGGGGACTAACTAGATGTTGGTTTTTAAAAAATTTATAATAAAACTAAAAAAAAAAAGAATTAAAAGAGATTAATTAATTAATTATTCGTGGAATTCTCCATCGTGGGAAAATAATTATAGTGAATACAAAATTTCGGAGGGGGTCTTTTTGAGAGATTTCAAAAGTACAGGGCATTTTTGTAGATTTGTGTATAGGTTGGGGAAATTTGTTGAGAATTTCCCCTACGGTTTAATACAAAATCGTCTTTTAATTCGTCAAACGTAAGTGCAAATCGAAGAGAGGGAGAGATTACAATGGAGGATCTGTGGAAGAGAGCGAAAAACTTCGCGGAGGAAGCAGCGAAGAAATCTCAGACCCTAACCTTACCTTCTTCTTCGACGACCTTCGCCAATCTCGTCGCCGAGACCGCGAAGAAATCCAAGGAACTCGCTCTCGAGGCCTCGAAGAAAGCCGATCAGCTCAAGGTCTCCGATCTTGTCGCCGAGACGGCGAAGAAATCGAAGGAGTTCGCTGCCGAAGCTTCTAAGAAGGCGGATCAACTCAAAGCTGCCGCGTTGAAACAAGCTGATCAGATCCATAACATCAAGTCGATCGCCGACATTATCCCTCCTAAGCTTGCTTCCTTTGGATCCGGATCCGGATCCGGGTCCGGGTCCGGGTCCGCCTTCTCGGATTCTGAGCTTCTAAGGTTCGGCATTACGGATGATCTTCGCGAGTTCGTCAAAGGATTGACCTCTGCGACGTTTCAGGCTTTCCCCGTCCAAGGTAATTTCGGTTTTCTCTCTTCCTATTCTTATGATTTTTCGTTTCGCATTGGGGCTCTGCGGTGTTTTCGGTGTTGAATGTGGAAATGTGGATAGATGAACCTGAAACCAAACCAGAAGTTTCTGATGCGCCGACAACACCGTCGAATGTCCGGAAGGATCTGTCGGAGTGGCAGGAGAGACATGCCACCCTCGTTCTGGCATCCGTTAAGGTATAGTAAATGCTATCTATCTGTTGGTTTACGGACGTGGTCATCATTTCTGGTTTTACTTTCGAACTCAGCTTCAATTGATGTCATCTATGTTTCTGGGTTCTCGTATATGGTGCAGCAAATCTCGAAGTTGAGATACGAATTGTGTCCGCGAGTCATGAAAGAAAAGAGGTTCTGGAGGATATACTTTACACTAGTGAGCACTCATATTTCACCGTAAGACTTTCCAATCTCTTTCCTAAACCCAAGTTTTACCCTTTATTAGACTCTTGATTTAGATTGAGAATTCGTGCATTGAACGGATAGGGATCTATCATAGGAGAGTACCTGAATGGTATGCCAATTAGCTGAAGAAATGAGTAGTCGACCTTCATGTTTTATCGATACGATATTCCATTGCCATTATCATCGATTAAGCTGAAAACAACATGGACTCTTAGTTGGCTTGTGAATTGCAATGATATTACTCAGATATGAGAAGAAGTACATGGAGGAACTTAAGATCAAAGCGGAGTCTAAAGATGAAGCAGCGAAGAAAACCCTAATGGTAGGAGAGACAGAAGCTGTGGAAAAGAATGTGAAGAGAACATCTACTTCATCATCATCAGCCGAGCAGGATCTGGATTCATTCCTCTTGGGAGATCTTGAAGATAGCGATGGAGGTCCTGGTCAGTTCTTCATTTCTCTTTTCCTTAGCTTTAGCTGCAACTTTGAGACTGTTCTTCCCAAATTTCCGCAACATGGGTCTGAGCATTTGAATCTCTTGGAGCCTACTCACCAAATTTGTAGACTGCACGATCAATATCTCAGAGAAGCCAATGGATTTTCTGTATTCAATCCACCGTATCTCGTGCCCTTTTTAGTGTTTTAGGGGTTAGGATCTCTCATTTCCGATTTTCTGTATGATCTTGTAGATGATTACGGTGATGAAAGCCTGGATGATGATTTTGGCAAGATCGGGAACTCCGTAAGCCTTCCGATACTTCCCTTTCCTGCATTCTTCTGTAGGAAAGCGGTTCATACCGATAAAAAAAAACTTGTTCATGTGTTTGCAGGACGATGAAGACGGGAAGCATTCTACGAAAACAACAAACGCAAGCGCGGCAAACTAGGATTATATAACACCATATTGCGAATTTTCCGGTGATATGATCGTAATATAGATGAAACGGTGAGTGATTCTCCCATCTCATCGAAGTGTATATGAGATTTGTGTCTATTGCCGCATTCAAGATATTGGATTCATTCGTTTTGTTTAACTGTATAAAAAAGAAATATTGACGTCGTACGGCTTCTAAACAGAGCAGGACTCTGACTCTTGAATCCGCCAAACGTGTCCGAGGGTCTGATCAGGGACAAAAGTGGTCTATTGGACTTCCCAAGGCTCAAATCAATACCGATTGCAATATAATAAGCCCAAGCCTGGTTTGGATCCTGAGCCTGTAGATTTTATTGGCCCACTACTCTCCGTCGACTCTTGAATCCGCCAAATGAATCCGGGGGTCTGATCAGCGACAAGGTCTATTGGGATTGATAAGGCCCAGTATTGATTACAATGCAATAAACCGAAGCCTGATTTGGATCCTAGGCCTGTAGGTTCTGCGCTAAGGGCCCCTCTCTCTCTCATTATGCTGTATATTAATTAATTTCTTTAATTTTAAAAATTATTATATTATCACGATTGTTTTATCTTGACTATATATTTCGCGTTATAGATTCAATAAAAATAAATTGATGATGCTGAGTCTTCGAAAAAAAAAAACATTAGAAACTTTAATATAAAACCAGATATACGAACTATTAGGAATTTGATTCTTTGGATATTTTAGTGGAGAAGGCTGAGAGTGGGGTGATGAATGATGATAGAAAACAACAAAGATTATGGATCGATTTGCTATGTCTGAAAATAATCTCTTATGGGACAGTTCTGCACTTCCGCTCCGCTGTCGTGCCTAAACGTCGTGGGTTTAATAATTCAATATTGTTTTATAATACTAGATACTTAATATTTTAAACATTTGTAATTAAAAACAAAAAACAAAACGACGTCGATGCTTATCTTTTAGTCCAAATACTCTGCGCATCGCATGAATCTTCATTTTTTTTTTGTTGGTCACCATTCACCAAAATAACTAAAGATTACCACGAGAGACTGCTACTATGATTTTTATATTTCAATTTTTTTTATCCATTTTATCACGAAATTTAATTAGATTTAAGTTTTATCTAAATTTGGTTTGTATGCAAGTTTATTAAAAAATGTAATTAATTTTTAAAACTATAAGTTATTATATGATCAATATCATTCACAAGATCCGGATAGAAAGAATGAATAATGATTGAATTTGACCTCTCCTTTTACGTTCGCCCCGTTGGATAAAGATGGCGAAAAGTACCATAAAGAACATGGAAATGGAATTGAGTGGACCCTACACATGTTTTTCTCCTCATAATATAAAGTTTAATCTCTAATACTGTTTTCTAATTAAACCGTGATTATTTTGGTGAAGTGAATATGTTAAATTCTAATTTATTTAAAAAATTCAGTTTCTTACAGTTTTTAATTTCATTATAATTAACTGGCTTGAGATTCTTCATATTTAAAAAAATTATATCATATATTTGTAAATTAAATTAATTTCCAAAAATATTTATTATGAGATTGTTTTAGATTTTGCATCTTAAATGCTTAATCTTGTCAAAGGCCTCGTCACTATCCCAATCGCTTATTCCCACGTCAGCGTCTGGTTCTTGCCTTCCAAGACCCGGGGCCCATCGGACGGTTATCATTTCATCTCTTCTGAGAATCGGACGGTTCTTATCTGTCGTTCTAGACTCTTCGAAGTTCGAAGAGAAAGCGAGTGGAATTTCATTTTATTTAGGCACAATTCCATTAAGAACACCGTAATTTTCCCTCTCTACCCTTTTTTAATCCAATAAACTTTATACTTCGTGTGTATATATAATAATAAAATATATATACTTTAAAAAATTAGTAAATAAAATCTTGAATAAAAAAATTGACTATTCAATATTGACATGACATTCTAATCATCAACTCTAAAATAATTAATAATATTAATTAATAAAAAATATAATAATTAATAAAAATAAAAAATACTTGTACATATTTATATATATATATCATACACATATATATATGTATTATGTTATGTATATATATATGTATATATTTATATAATTAACTTTTTCTTTAAGATTTTATTTGTCAATTATTAAAAATATAAGTATTTTATTATTATATATATATATGGAATATAAAGTTTAATAGGATAAAAAAAGTATATGGTTAAAATTTCGACGAATTAAAAATATTGGGTTTTTAATAGAATTGTACCTTTTATTTATTATCAATTTTCTTTTATCTGAGGTTAACCAGGGTTAAAATTTAACCATCAGGTTACACAGGTGGGGTTAAAGGTCAGTGTAAGTGGAGAGAGAAAGGCGGAGGCCGGAGGGAAAG